GGCACCGATTTTAGCTTCAACGTATTACACTCATCATATACCAACGATGAGCGACGAACCTGCAATCAAGCGCCAGCTCAAGATCAAGACCGGTGTGGTCAACCGGTACGTAGCGACCACTCCCAAGAGATTTCATCACTTAACAAAAACATCTTACACGTGCGGCAATGCGGACAAACCGCGCAGACTGTTCAAGGAGCACAAGTCGTACCTGAAGGAGACGGGCGATCTGGAGAAGAACTTACAACGGCTCGAAGCACAGGACCCGGAAGCAGGGGATAATGCATGGGAAATCAAGAACGGGGTATGTACAGCTTGCTCGCTCGCTCGATACACGATTGGTCTGAGACTAGATCTGCCACCCTTCGCCCTCGCCCGCTGATACCTGATCGCCCTCACACTCACTGATTGACACGTGTTCTTCAATTATGGGGCACAGAAAAACATGCTCAAGGAGACGAAGAAGGTTGTCGCAGAGACTGCGGGGCGCCTCGAGACCGGGGCAGGGCAGCTACGCGACCTCGTGGTGAGTGCGATATGACGACCCCTCATTTATGCTCCGGCGGTGATGAGACGCGCTGACATCCGGCTGACAGAACTCTGTTGAGAGAGATGACCGATTCTCGGGCAGCGAAGAGCTCGAGGCTGCGAAGAAAGCCCTGGAAGTGCTGGATGAGTGATACATTCGTAGGAGCTGTGCAGGTCTGTGTACGAGTATGAGTAAGAAGTGTATGGTAGAAGACGGTGATGGGCGAACACATGCGGACCTTCGCTATTCTTCAACTCTGAGATGCGTTCACGCATCTGTCTCCATCTGAGATGCGCGCTCCTGCTCTTGGGCCGCCTTGAGCCGTGTTAGCGCATCGAGTATGCCCCGCCACGCGTCGCGGTTGACGCGCTCCTCCTGCAGGCCCCTCTTCTGGTCTTCCCCGCTGCTCCCCAAGAAAGCGTTCTCGTTATCCCTGTCGTGATCTGAGGCGGGGGCGAGCGACGGCGTCCCGACGCCTGCGGGTTGGGGCACGAAGTTCGGCGGCGGCGCGTTGATGGCGGACGGCGCGATGCGCGACTTGCGGATGTGTGCGAGCGTGGAGCGTATGTTAATGTGGATTTGCTGCATGCGAGTAGAGTCAGCAACATGGTAGAACTGTTAGCTGGTTTTGAGTAAAGGTAACGAAAGAAACGCACGTCGAGTCGCTCGAAGTACTCGCTGACCTCGAGCACGAACTGCTCTGAGCGTTCCTCGCCCTGCGGGAGAGTGCTGTCCGATGGGTCGGTCTGCGGGAGAGTGAGGAGTGCGATGGAGGACGCTGCTAAGGAGAGCAGCTTGCTAATATCCTGAAGTATGTTAAAAATGAGAATGAGAATGAGAATGAGGCTGAGGATATGTTGACCGGCGAACCTTCTCAACTTCGCCGAGGGCGTATATCTGCCTGGCTGTGCGGCTCGTCGTCCAGACGTGATCTATCCTCTCGCCATTGTTCTCGCCGCCGTTGGTCTGCATGTTTTCTATCGTGCACACGATGTTTTGAATGGGAGTCCGACAGTGGACGGAGCAACGGCGGCGATCATGCAAGTCATCTCGTCACGTGGCCGGTTATACCGAGCGGACTGCTTACCGCGACCGCGTTGTCCGTCTTCGAGCTCAAGCTGTCCTCGCCATGTATCTACCGAGGGCGCGTCTTTCTGTGCAGACTGTCCTCAACGGTGTCCGCGCGATGAGCTCATCCGCAGCCAGCTCGAGTGTGACCTTCCCGGCGCCCGGCGCGCTTCCCCTCGAGCCGCCGTCGCTCGACGCAGAGGCAGCCGACTTCAAAGCGCGCTGCGACTCGCTGTCCTCTTTCTTCGCCCTCCCGCGCTTCAAGGACCTGCGCCGCCCTTATGCTGCCGCCGACGTTGCGTCGAAGCAGGGCTCGATGCCTGTCCTCCCGCTGCCCTCGACATTTACTGCAGACAAACTGTACGCCCGTCTAAGTCAGGCTGCGGAGGAGGGAAAGCCGGTGCACACGATGGGCGCGATAGATCCCGTCCAGATGACCCAGATGGCGACGAACCAGGACGTTGTATACATCAGTGGTTGGGCGTGCAGCAGCCTATTGACGACTGCTAACAACGAAGTCGGTCCCGATTTCGGGTGAGCCGTTGCTATTCCTCTCTTGATTATGTTAATTTGAATCTCATGGTGTTGACCGCTAGTGACTATCCGTACACAACCGTGCCGAACCAAGTGCATCGCATATTCCGAGCTCAGCAGCTGCACGACCGGAAACATTATGACGAGCGCATGTCGGCTTCGCAGGAACAGCGAGCGAAAATGCCTTATGTCGATTACCTGCGGCCCATCATAGCGGATGCTGACACTGGGTAGGCTCATGCATTATGATCACTGACGACCTTCTCACATGTCGCAGCCATGGGGGATTGTCCGCTGTCATGAAGCTTGTCAAACTATTCGCCGAGTCGGTACGAGCGCGTTTCTGTGCGGTTTTCTGGAGCTGACATCTAGCTTTTGCGCCTTAGGGAGCCGCTGCGGTTCACATGGAAGACCAGCTTCATGGTGGAAAAAAGGTTTGTTTTCGTTTATCGCTGAAGTCGAGTAAACTTTATGCATACTACCTTCAGTGCGGACATCTCGGCGGGAAAGTTCTCGTTCCAACTTCGACCCATGTTTCCCGGCTCATCGCCGCTCGCTTCCAACTCGACATGCTACATTCAACGATGCTTCTTATTGCGCGCTCTGACGCCGAATCTGGAAAGTTGATATCGTCGACCGTGGACGTAAACGACCACGAGTTTATTGTGGGAACAACTACTCCTGGAACTGCCGTGGCCGATGAAATAGCTGAGGCGGAAATGAGGGGTGCCTCAGCCGGCGAACTGGAAGCCATTGAGAAGAAATGGGTGGAGAAGCATGAAATGTGCACCTTCAACCAAGGTAGACATTATCGATGGCGTTAAGAATGTTGCTGATCCTGTTTTATTCTTCCTTAGCTGTCGAGAAGGCTATAGACGCGTCTTCTAAAATTGCAGATAAAAAGGCGGCTCATAAGGAATACATTTCGGCTGCTGACGGCAAGTCAAATACTCATGCTCGGGAGATAGCGAAGGATATGCTTGGCGAAGAAGTGTTCTGGAATTGGGACTGTACGTGCTTATTTCTATATTGTGTTTGTCGCTTATAAATCGTCTCGCCTTCACAAGTGCCCCGCACGCGCGAGGGCTATTACCACTTCACCGGCGGTGTAGAAGTACGTCGTCCTCAATGATACCGATCGTTCACTGAATTGCTCTTTTTTGACTTGTTCTAGGCAGCTATCAAGCGAGCAAAGATCTTCGCTCCGTATGCTGATCTTCTATGGGTTGAGACGTCTACACCCGACCTTTCTACAGCCCGCTATCTCTCGGGTAAAGTCAAGGAGCAATACCCCGGAAAGTGGTTCGTGTACAACCTGAGCCCATCGTTCAACTGGGGGAAATTCGGGTTTAGCGGTCTGCACTTTCCCCCCCTAAATCCGCCACGGAAGTCTGACTGACTGAACGTATACGTTATGCAGACGCCGACTTGAAAAACTTAGTCTGGGATCTCGGCAAAGAGGGCTTTGTCCTGCAACTGATCTCCTTGGCTGGCCTGCATTGCAACGCAGTCTCGTGGGGTGAGCGTTTCGTTTTCCCCTGCTTGTCTTGAATGAATTTTAATTTACATATGAATAACTACAGCTGAACTCTCCCGCCGCTTCAAAGAAGACGGTATGCTTGCCTATGTTCAACTGGTACAGCAGAAGGAACGCGAGCTCGGCGTCGACATCCTCACTCATCAGAAATGGCACGTTCTTCCATGTCGTTCTGCTTGCGCGGCCTTGTTGACACGTTCTTGTTGTTAGGAGCGGCGCGAATTATATGGACCGCATCCTGCAGAGCGTGAGCTCTTCGGCGACCACAAGCTCAATAGGTTCTGGCTCGACAGAGCATGAATTCTGAGAAAATCCGAGATCGGCGCATTTCGAATAAGTAAATATTTACGCTCCTAGAAGTTCGGAGAAGCTCTGAGTCGTGTCTACGAGCGTCCCGTGTGTGCTTGGTCTGTCACGACAAAATCCGCCGGTAAGGTAAGGTCCGACGACGATCCACCCGCTCTTCATGTGGTTTTGTTCGATAGCACAATCAGACATAGACATGCCTATCCCGACACTTCGGCGGTAGAACTAAGGGTGAATCACACTAAATAAACAATTCACGATGCTATCGCTTCTTCACGGTCCTTCTCGTGTGAACGGAAATACATGTTCAGTGCTCGACGATCCACACATTCGAACGGCGCCGGCATTGTAGTTGGGCACTTCAAGCATGTTGAGAAGGTTTAATCGTTGACAAGGGAATTTAGACATACGAAGTAGCTGGATGTAGACCTAGAGCATCTACATGTAGTTTGGCGTCAATCCGAAAGATTGTCTATCTTGGCAAAATTACCAGCCTTTGGTGATAAAATAAAGTAGACGCCCACGGGTGAGCGCGAAAACCGGTATGAGGACTTGAATTTCAGAGGGAAAGAAAGTTGGATAAACATCTCATAGTTCTTGTAGAAATACTGCGAATCACTCGGGTGGGAGGCCTTTCCTGATGGACTTTGTTGCTGGCGAGGAACGCAAGCAGGCGTATGCTCCGAAAGCGGCAATCTTGGATGTGGTGTTTGGGTTTCTATTCTTTCTGCATTTTGCATTCTTCGTTCATTCATTCATCATTTTGTTCATGGACCTCGATGGACCAATCAAGGTGACGAGCAAGAACGTTAAGCATCCGATCTTCCTAAACGATGTCTTATTGGCTTTCCTGTCGAAACATAATTTATAAGTACAGCTCCATCCCACCAACTCTCCCTCTGCTTCCCTACGTCCCCCATGTCTGTCAAGAAAGCCTATCAGTACGCTCTTCCCCCACTCCCACTCACGCTCCTGTCCAAAAAAATGACTTCCTAGAAAAGGCAAAAAGCCGCTATGAAAAGACCAAGCCCACCGCGGGGGTCGAACCCGCAACCTTCAGATTTTAATTCAGAATTTTAGCCCAATTTAAAAGTCTGACGCTGCTATCCGATTGAGCTAGACGGGCGTTTTCCCACGCTTTTGATAGTGCTGAAGATGTGGAATGAGAAAGAAAAGAGGGAAGAAAGAGTAGGAAAGAAAGAGGAAGAAAGAAAGAGGAGGAGAAATGAGCCAAATGTCAATCAATGATCGACGCGCGTGCTCACGTCGATCGCTTCCCTTTTTTGGCCTGGTGCTGTCTTCTTTCTTTATGTAATCGTGGGGAGAGCTCCTGGTCAAAATTGAAATATGGTATGTAAGCGCAATGTGCAGCGGAAGATGGCGCGCCCGAGCTCATCACCTTGTGCAACATCTGAGGAAAGATTTAAAATTTGATTATTCTTGAAACTAAAAGGCCGATACATAGATAATGTATTGCCTAACACTTAGGCAGATACATGGCCAGAGACCAATTTTCCAAAGCCCGGATTTTTGTAAATAGCAGAAGGCATTTTTTTGGAACTGGAACACAGGCTTTATAATCACGACTGCGATGTCGGGTAGTTAGGATAAATACAATAATAAATACAACGATAATCTGAGACTCAATGAGGTGCGAGTTGGTGAGGGAAGATCGTGCCGGGTGATACATATAGTATTGTCTGTGGCTTGACACTGTTCAGGATCTAATTCCAGTATGCACCGTCTAGAAAGCAGCCGAGAATGTTAGTGAGCAGAATTTTATGTCTTTGAAAGATGCAGTAGAGTCTACTGCGTATATGAACGGTCAGAGCTGTCATATTTGAGGGAATCTCGACAACATCAGTCTGAATACATGCATGACGAGCTGTAAAAACACGAATAAAAATTGATTGCGCTTCATTTGGGCTAGGTAGCTTGCGCCTCACTTTCTGAGCTCATGATTCGAAAGCCTGTTGTTTACTTCTTAACTTGTTGGCAAGTCGATAAAGTGGAGGTCTCTGGCTAATGTCAACGGGGCGGTAGAAAATCTAAAACAGAGCAAAAAATAAACAGAGCCTAGCTCTTAAAAGCATCGTACCTTGTAGAAGGTAAGCAGATCTCATTAAGATATGTTAAGCAAGCCGATACAATAATGGAAGTAGCCGAGTCGCGTCCAGAGCAAGATGTCGTTTCATGACCATAAGAGTTTTATTGAAGAGAAGAGAAGAGTCTCAGATTCACCGGCTTAGATGATTCTCAGTCCGAGGAAAAGTTCGCGAATTAATTGCCCATGGGGATAGACCTTGATCGCGCTGATTTTGTTGATGCCTGCCAGAAGCATGTACCGGAACTGCATACAGCCAGCGAATAGCCGGAGAGAAAGCGCTTTAACATGAGACGGAAAGGACTTTTCAGAGCTGAAAGTGCTCAATGATAGAGGGAAGCGAACAGATACTGGATGGTCGTGGTCAATGAACAACAGAATTGGGCAGAAAGCTTGGAGGAAGGAAGCGCGTGACAAAAGATGTGACAGTGACATCCCCGAAAAGACGCTCGCGAGTCGGCAAAAGTCGACCTTCTCCTCGCTCAGTCCCTTGTCCTCGCCTTCATTGCTGTCAGTCGACGACGACGTCGAAAACACGCTCACTCAACGGCCCCAACGCTCTCTCACGTCGGTCTTTACGTCTCCGAGCATGCTCTTCGACCCTTCTAGCTATTGTCTTCTATAAACTCAGATAGCTGCTTAATTTTCTAACACCTTCGACAGTCGCGACCATGTCGACCATGCCCAGACCCCTGTCCATTTACCCAGCCTCATCCAGTGATGAATATATGTCGCCATTCACCGCTCCTGCCATGCCGAATGTTAGGACTCTTGGTGTGTCGTCTCGCATCCCGATGGCGGCAACTGCAGATCCTTCTCGAGTTCCACCGCGTTCTCCACTCCCACCGCACAAACTCGCGAAACTTGCTAATGCGTTAGGCGTTTCCACACCACTCCCTGCTCTTAATCCATCTCTCTCTCACAAGAGGTCCTTTTCTGCGCGCCCGGCAGGCGAACTTGCAGTTCCCGAACCAAGAAGTGCTACTCCCTCGGCCGCAGCAGGACGTCAGCCAACCTCGAGATATCTTATTCATGTCGTCCCACCGAAACACTTTCCGCATGAAAGCCGCAAAGATCCAAAAGCGTTTGCCTCCTTCCGTCGTGGTTCTCTCGTCCCTCTTCATGCAAGTCTCAAAGCACAGCTAAGTGCAATATGTCGGGAATACCAGCTGCCAACGACCCAGGGCCTCGTTCTTTACCTTGTCGGTGAATCAGATTCTAACGAGGGCCGCGACAGACGTTTGGGGAAAGGACCACGGATAAGTGAAGATGTTTGGAAATGGTTGTGGATGAAAATTGCGGACGAACAGCCAATCCTGCGAGGTGTCGGACTTGGTTTGTCGAGTGGTGCATCGTCCCCAGCACCGTCTGAAAACCCGAACTTATTGCGTAGCTTGTCACTATCACCGCGTGTGGATACGTTTCCGCGCACTGCTAAGACGGCAACATATCCTTTGACCCCATCCCCATCCTCCCCCTCATCATCCTCCCCTTCCACTTCCGTATCTACTTCAATACCAACAGAACCAAGTGGTGCAGCGGCACTTGTAGAACAATCTAACTCCTCTCAATTATCCAATGGGTCGCCAACTCCTGACACCCCTGCTTCGTCCTTGGACTCGCTAGACCCACGCTTTCTACCTGGTCTGGGAAGCTCCTCGTTGATGCCTGTTCTTGCAAAAGTTGAATTTGACGTTGACCGGAAAGTCGGAACATGGTACAATACGTGGTCTCGTTCACGAAAGATTATGCAGAAACGACGAGGTAAAGGAGTGGACTCTGAAGGGAAATTACAGTTGCGCATCACTATCAACGACAAAACAGGAGCTGTCAGTCCCCCATCGTCACCCTCGGACGAAGATGAAGAAGGATACGAGCGCTTTGGCGAATCCCCAGACGAATTTGATACCGAGGCTGAATTGACGGCTCGCGCTTCGCCTCGTCGGAGAGACCCACTTGCCGATGTTTTCGGGACAGACGGAGAGGAATGGTCGAATATGCAATCTGAACGTCCGCGTAGGAAAGCTAAGGGAGATCTCGCGCTCGATGGCGCTGCGTTAAGCGCCTTGCCGGATCTCGACGATGCCGATTCTGGTGTTGGCGTCTCCGACAGGGAGGAAGTCATGGCATTATGGAATGCACGTAACCACCCGCAGCTTAGAGGTGCTTTACCGCGCAAAGGTGCCCCTCCACCACTGAATCTTTCAGCACATGGTGAGGCGGGTCTGAAGATCAACATTGCGACCGCTACGCCAAGCCCGTACAGTGCCGGCTTCGACGATGAATCCGTCCGTCTTCCTTATTTGCGAAATGACTCTCAATCAAGTAATGGGGATGACATGTACAAGGAGAAGAGAATTGGTGGCATCTACGAGGACCTTGATCTGGATTTGAACGCTGACGTGTGTTTATTCTTTGATTTGTCAACGATAATATTGCTAATTTATCCTGACGGTTTAGATTGATATGGACGAGCACCGTGCTAGTCAACTCAGAATACGTCAAGAGCTGGACGTGCTTGAGCGCGTAAGTGAACATTAAACATACCTCTCATAACTTCATTTTAATTTATACTTCAGAATCTCGCACAATTCTCCCCTCGGGCGCTTAAATCTGCCGAACTCCCGTCTGAACAGATCTCGCCCACCAGTCCCAATCTTCGCTCCCCCCCTCCGCAGAGAACGTCAGCAGCTCAGTCGCTTCGTGCAGGCTCGCAGCAGGACTCGAGGCGCATCGTGCCTACTATTAATCAAATGCAACCGGTGCGGCCGAGCATGATGGAGACGGAGGTTGAGGGACCTGTGTTTAAGCAGCCAGTGCTTGTCGGAACCCCCAGCCCGATTGCGGACAGCTTCAGAGGTACTAACAGACTAGATACAGCGAGTTCTCCTGCGGAGGGGTATGTCCTGCTTAACAAAATCAAGGAGCCGACGTTTATAAAATAATTATGTTTTTTGTTTTTTTTAAAGGAATCACATGCTTGGTACTCAGGGGTCGCCTCAGGCTGCGTGGCCGGCAGTGCCATTTGCAGCAATAGCGGGACAAGAGGTGCCTACGTCTCCAGTTAGCTCTTCGGTTAACTCGAATTCCACGAGGCTCACGAACTCGCCTCCTAAAGTCATATTAAATGGAAAAACTAAAGGAATCTCGTCTGATAAAAGGAATAATTCATCGGTATCATCTATGCTCAGCAACGGTAGTGGTCCTAGGAAACCGTCAGAGTCGCAGACGAGGTCTCGGCAATACGAGGAGGAAGCGGGGTTTTATCCTGAAGTACTCAGACTGCCGCCGTCGTTATCTCGTAAAACTCTTGAAGTATCGGAATCACCGGTCTTGCCACTTTCACCCGATCCATTCGGAAGATTCCCATCATCTGAGCAGACGGACAATGTGCCAAGCCTGCCTGAACGCACGACATCCCTCGCCAAACATACGCGCATGGGATCCAAGACACCTTCGAGCCGGTTTTCGGCAGACTCCATATCGGAGGAAGTGACGACAACGAATTTAAAAGTTTCAAACAGTCGATCGAATCTCGTATCCATGAAGAGCATCAGGAAACTCTGGCGCAAGTCGAACAAGGCGTCGATCTCGAGTCAGTCTATATCTGCTAGCCCGGACCCATCGACGATGCCGTCACGTCCGCCGAGTTCGGTGACGTCTGTGCAGGAAACTGAGACGAACGGTTCGCGAACGCCATCTCCTTCTGTGCCGTTCTCGTCAGGAGTACCGCCTCAGGCATCCGTGCGGGGTGAGCACTCTCGACCAGACTCTGGTCTTGACCCATTTTACTTCGATCAGGATTCGAAGTATCCGATACGGGGGTCGCCGTCACCGCCGGATCAATACCAGTTCCCGAAGTCATCTAGGCCATCGACACCGTCCGCATTTTCCTCCGTGCAGTCGAATGGCGCGACACCCACTCCTGAAAAGAAGCGGGCTGTGAGAAAGTCACTGATGAAGTGGAAGTCCGGGTCGGAGGCTTCTTCGCAGAGCACGGACTCGGTGACCGAAGTTAGACG